TATTATGGTTACACACACATAAAAAAGAGTCCTCATCTTTTAGAGATACGTATTACTGATTAAATGATGGCATGATTTGCTTTGAAACAATATCACAGTTGGAGGAGAGAGTAGATATTAGTGAAAAGTAGAGTAATAAATGAAATAAGATTTTCCATGGGTAGATAATTATTGAAACTAGTAATGGGTACATGAGGATTCTTGTAATAGTCTCTCTACCTTTGTGCATGCTTGAAAAGTCCATAATAAAAGATGAGGGAGGGAAAGGAGAGAGAGAGTGGGAGGGAGGAAACGAAATCCTCCCTCCTTTGCGTGTGTCTAGGGTCCACTCCAGTTCTCCAGCCAGTCGTGGCTGAGCCAGTCTCTGCCCTGTCAGTGGTGAACTTCAGAATGAGGTCATCCCTTCCTAAGCATGGGTCAAGGTGGTCTGCCAGTGGTTTGGGCTACTTTGATTTGCATTTTCCAAACCAAATTTCCTCGTCAAACTTTAGATGCGGGACCCAGTGTCTCCAATGGACCTCTAAGTCCAAGTGTTGCTTCCCAAGCCCTAGTTCAGCCCTTCCCTCCCATCCATGTTGGTTTGGCTCCTGGTACTTTGCGCCTGGCTGAGGACTGATCTTGCCATGTATAAACACAGCTCCCGAAGGATAACTTCCTGAATTTCCTACTACTGGGATCTGCCCCTCCAGCCAGAAGCTCTGGTACCAACAATTGTTCATGGGCTTTTTTCCTTCCCTGTCTAGTTGCTTCTCCAACATTGGCATCTGTAGTTGGGTCATTTCCCCCAAACCCATTGACCAAGATAGGTTAACCTGAATCTCTTTGTTTGTGCTAAATGAGGAGAAGCCATTTGCAGTTTCAATCTTTTGTGAGTTCTGGGCCAGCTGGTGTTGGGGGAGAAGGAAGCACACCCAACACATGCTGAAAATGAAGCTTCCACCAGGTGATGCAAACAATAACTGCACCAAATGTTCTTCAAAGAACTGGAACACATAAGAGGATGATCTTGTGACTGCCCAGGATTCAGGAGTTGTTGTCTCATCTGTTTGCTATGAAATAGGAGATGCAAAATACCTTCGTCAGGTCCTAACTTGAACCTCAATATGTCTCAGCAGAAGCAGAGTCTCAGGAATGATTTTTTGAATGCCCTAAAGTGGATACAGAGCCATGGTTTTTAAGCTCATAGAATTACCTACAAAATTATGTCCCCTCCAAATAAAAAACTTGGCTCCGTTTAGAAGTGACCACTACAGCTTCACCTACATCCAAACCCTTCACCATCCTGTCACACAAAAGGAGCACAACCAGAAAGAAATCATCTTTCATGGTCCAGGTCTTGCAGTTGAGGATTTGCTAAGGATCAAAGGCAACTACTCTGAGGAGGGTTGGTCATTGGTAGAGCCTGGACATTTCTGTGGAACCCCAGAATATTGAGACACAACCAGTTTTAGTCATTCTGGAACTCTACACAGATGTAAGCAGCTTGACTACACAAAGTTAGCTCTCTCTGCTAGAGCAACGGCTGCCTCTGTCGCTGGGTTTAATCTCTTTATAATTCTTTGGCACCAATTCTGGCACAGGACTCAGCCAAGGCTGTTCCCTGACTCGAGTGTGGAGCAGAATTTCCCCTTTTTAGGTCACAAACTCAGAGCGCTCACTCATCCCAGTGACTCTCTCTCCTGTGTCAATTTTAAACACCTTCATTAACAACATTTATGAAACGTTGGCAAAGTGGCAACTCTTCCGAGCCGCTCCTGCTATACACGGGCATTGCCCAAGACTGAAACACATGCGCAAACTTGCCTACCAGGCTAGGATTATAAAAACACATTGGTATCCACCTCTTGTGAACACAGCTCAGTTAAGAATCCTAGCGTTCAGTGACCCTCAAAGTGTGCAGATAAGCCCTCAATGGGTCTTTTTCCTGCATTAGCATTCTGGTCATTGTCCGGCTGCTTGTTTGCTGTCTCACCGTATGCAGCCTTGGTCCCCATGTCCTGCCTTTGGTGTTGGGGTGAAATGTCCTGTGCTGAGATGGACAATCTCACTTGGGCTTCAAAGCTCTTTGGGAATCAAAGTATTGGACCGGAGTGAGCATCATAGTGAGTTTGGTTCTCTGCTGGCCAGTTTGCCACCACCTGGTCAATTGCATTTGTCCTGGCTCTCTCCCTGCCCTATTAGCCACCTGGTGTTGTCCCCTACCAGCCGCATGCCCCTGGCCATTAAGTCCACATTCTTGCATGCAGTTAGTAGAATCCACCATTTAACCCAGCTTCCACTGCTCCACTCCCATGAAATCCCACTCTTGAGCAGGCAACTTCTGAGGGCCTGCCTTTGTTCTTTGCTCTGAAAACGGCTCTTCCATTATTTTCTCCTCACTGCCACCCACCCCCACCGACTGAGCAGTCTTGGCCCACCACACCAACCCACCTCCTAGAGATTGCTAATTGGACTAGGGCTTAATACTCGCTTCAGCTGGGCCAAGCAGATTTTCTCTCTTGCTGTTTGATAGGGGCCTTTGAAGTCAGTGACAGGCCACAGGGCCAATGAGCAATGGGGGTTCGGATCCAGGCCAGAGAACCCCAGAGTCTGTGCGTGCTGACCTGAGGGAGGAGCGGGACCAGGAGCCCAGCAGAGACCAGTCCATCCTCAGACTGGAATGAAGCAGGTGGTAGCTGGGAACTTTACAACCCAGAGCTATGTCTTTGCCACCACTCTCAACCAATCCCGTCCCTTTTTGAAAGTTTCTATTTCTGACAACAAAACGACCCTGGATTGAAAACACACTCAGAAGCTGCTCATGACCTTTACACTCTGGCCTCTTCTCAGTCTTCCTCCTCCTTCAGCATTTCCACAGCACCTGACCCTGTCACCCCTACCCTCCTCTACAAACTCTCCCACTTAGGACTTTTTTAAAAGGTGCTAAATCTTGTTCTCTTCTTCCTTCTCCAGTGTTCCTCTTCCCCTCTTTGTAAAGCCATTTAATGAGATTCAGGATTTGGTCTTCCAGCCTGGTCTTCTCCTAGGAAGATTCCATATGCGTTCTCATAACCATTTCTTGAGTCCAGGCAGAAGGCTCTAAATCTGGATGCCAGCCTTAACTTCTCCCTCCCACCCCCATCGCATTTTTAACTCTCTGATAAATATCTCTACTCGAATGACTCACAGTCACTCAACCTCTTGAAATGCACATTTGATATCTTTCTCCTTCAACTCAACCCCTCTCCTGACTTTCCCATTCCCATGGAGAGGACTGTGTCCATTTAGCTCTATCCCCTGGGACTCTAGGTAATTCTGCACCACAGGGTGTTTGCTTGATTAGCATCTGCCTCCCCACCAGCCCAGGAGCTCCCTGAGGGCCTAGATTGTGTGACTGTGATGTAAACTCTTTCCTCCTTCCCTCAAGAACTCCCAGGGTCTGGTACCCAGGATCACTTAAATGTTTGCTGAATGCACTGAAGGAATGGTTGATTATCTTTTATTTTTCCCTCTGCTTCGTTCCTCTTTTCTCTCCAATATCTACCCACGGAGCCCTCTGAACTCTCCTTCCAGTGTCTCTTTCCCTGTGCCCTTCTTCCCTAATCCCTGCGCTTCTGGGCCAGATCCTTATTGCTACCCAGTACAACTCCTGCAGAAGCAAACTGGTCTCCCTGGTTGCAACAGAAACTTGACAAGTGGAATTCCGGGAATATGGTGGCAGCAGAGTTTTAAGATCTTCCCAAATCCCCTCGTATAAACAGACAGAGCAACTAGATAGAAAAACCGAAAACCTGCGGACATTTACAACAAAACCGGATAATAAGGTTTCCCCCGAACTTCAACCACCAACAGCTACAAGGCCCACCTGGTTTCATCGTCCATGCAGGAAGAAGCAGAACTGAGAGCAGGACGTCCCCAAAAGAGCCAACAGGGATTCCCTGGAAGGATGGGGGGCAATGTGGAAGCGGCAGCTAACACTGGGAGGAGTTTTGCCCCCTCTATACACGCATAATGCAGGTATTACACACTAGGTTGTATGCAGTGTAAGTGGGATGAAGAATTTCAGTCTGTGCATTTCTGTTGCTTGGAGATAGGACACATAGACTCACACACACACACACACACACACACACATACACACTCACACTCTGCTATGTTTAACTGAACTGTTGGATTCTCTCATGAGGCTTAGAATTCTGCCTCGCTTCAGTGTGATCTGGCGATTCCCTTATAAGTGACACCACGTCAAACTCAGAAACACACAGCTTTTGTTGAGATCACATGGCAGCTCAAGCTGGCAGCCACAGCGTCAGAAACAGGTCTGAAAAGGTACTTGTGTGAGTCTAGAGAAACACTGTGCAAACAGGTCAAAATCAACACTGTCGCCAGTTTTAAAATAACTTTTCCCTACAAAGTCTTGGTGCATTAGGCCTTCAGGGCTCTCTTAAATCATCACTCCACAGGATCATAAATACTTGAAAACCCAATTTGCCATGGGCAGAATCGTAACAAAAGCCAGAAGAAATTTCAGTAACCACCTAGCCCAATCCTTGTTTTACAAAGGAAGAGAATAAGGTCTAGGTTAATGAGGACTTATCCTACCAAAAGCAGCTGGTAACTTATTGGAAAGAAAAAACACAGTTCATGTGGCTCAGGAGACAATCAGAGGGGGCAAATAAGAAAACACAGGTGGGCCTTCAATTTCTCTTTATAAGGGAAAAGAAAGGAAGGGAGGGAAGGAAGGAAGGAAGAGAGAGAGAGAAAGAAAGAAAGAAAGAAACAAAGGAAGGAAGGAAGAAAAGAAAAAGAAAGAAAGAAAGAAAGAAAGAAAGAAAGAAAGAAAGAAAGAAAGAAAGAAAGAAAGAAAGAAAGAAAGAAAGAAAGAAAAAAAGAAAGAAAGAAAGAAAGAAAGAAAAGAAAGAAAGAAAAAGAAAGAAAGAACGAATATTTATCCTCTAAACTCAGTAGCCAAGCCATACATTGCTCAAAGGATTAAAGCCATCAATCTGAGACTTACTTACCCAGTATCCTTTTAGCATGAAGAGCAGAGAAGAGGGGAAAGGTCCTCTCTTTCTGATGTTCCGACTTTTCAGCACTGCCCTCCGCCTGCGGTCTGTCTTCCCCAGGATCACATGGAAATGTTCTATAAATGTGCGTTGGCTTAAGGTTGGGAACGCTGGCCTGGGAGGCAGCAGTGTGTAAGCAATCTGACCCGGGCCAGGCGGCAGCTTTCCAGAAGGCTCTGCAGCCCAGAGAGAGGGCGACAAGGGGCGGAGAGCTGGCAGGTATGGGAAGCCTGCAGCATTCTGCTTTTTTCACTCTACATTTATCTGGGATCTGAAGCCAGTCTCAGCTGCCCCAGGCTGCACTTTAATTTACTTGGGGGCAGTTCTATATTTTGGCTACTTTTCAAAACAAAGTAGCCTTTAAAACAATGCTACAAAATTAGAAATGCTTTTGGTAAATGGGGACAGGTCACCCTCAGTTTTTACCAACCCCATAAAATAATCAAGTTGTCCTTTTTGAAAAGGTCAATATGCTCCCTTGGGAAAGGGTAAGTGAGTAAATACTGCTTAGCCAGTTCTAATTGGCAAAGCTACCTAAAAATCCATCATCATTTAATGAATTAAATGTGCAACCATACAATGGAAAACTAGGCAGCTCTTAGAAAGGATGTGGACCTCTTTACATACCAACACTGATACATCATTTTCTCTCTCCAAGAGACATCATTAAGTGAAAAAAATTAAGGTACAGAACAGTGTGTATAATATGCTAGTATTTGTGTAAAAAAAAAGATATAAATTTGCATGTGGATACCACAGTATGTATAGTACATAAATTCTATGTTCTGAAAAAAAAAACTGCCATACTATATTATGATATATAAATTAATGACTCTTTCTGGAAATTCACCTAAGAAACTAGTGACAGTGGCTGCCTCCAGGGAGGGGGAAGGGCCAGGGAGGGGCAGAGACTAAAGTACAGGGAAAGAGGAAGATTTCCTTTCCTGGGCTAGAAATTTTACCTCATGGGAATTGTAATTTTTCAAAGAAAATTTAAAAAGTGATCTAATTTTCAGTAGAAATATTTAATTTTCAAAATTATTCTACTATTCAGAGCGCTGAATTCAATTGACCATCACTTTTATTTTTCACATATTTAAATTTTTGACGGGGTTAGGAAGGAGACTTTTTAAGAAGACAGGGTTTTGTGATAACTAAAATCCTGGAATGGCAAAGGACCTTGAGTGAGTTTTGAATGAGGAGTTGGAAGGCTGGATTTCAGTCGTGATGCATCCCCTTCCCAGCCACGACTTGGATCAATTGCCCAGATGCCAGGTGCTCAATTTCATCAGGTGTTAAAATGGTCCCACACCCCTCCTTCCCCACAGGTCCAGTGTGGCCCAGGCAAGATGATGTATATAAAAAAACCTCTAAAAGCAGAAAACCCTTATTCAGGAATAGAATTTTTCAGGGTAATCACACTTCATAACATTTTCCTAAAGTTCTTGTGTAATTCAACACGAATAATTTAAGTCAAATTTTCCCATGGGAGCAAGTAAGGGGCATAGTTTCAGAAGGTGCATATCTGCAGTCATTGTGGCTAATGTTCACCTTAGTGCTATTTTTAATTTTTCTCAGCATCATTTCTCATATGTACAAATGCCTTCTTCTGAGCTAAACTCCTGGCCTGTCATCGTGGGCTGTTTTGACCTCCTTCCTGCATGGTTTCCTATCACACCTAAATTCTGTTCCCAGTTTATTAATCCGGGAGCATTTTTTTAGTCTTCCCTTAAGACAAGGCATCATGCTTGGGTGAAATTGCCCTGAGATATAAAACAGGTGTTTTTTGTTTGTTTTTCTTTTTTTTCTTTTAACGTTGGTGCTGCGGATCGAAACCAGGATCTCCTGTATGCTAAGCACACACTCTACCACTTAGCTACACCCCCATCTAAAACAGGTTTTTGATGACACTAAAATCACAAGCCAAATTTCCAATGCCTATGAACAGTGTGGTTGCCACGATCCTGATGAAAAACTGGAGATGCCTGCTTACCGGTGGAGGTGGCGCCACCATGTGGCAATAGTGTCAGTGCAGTTTTTACCATTGGTCTGGTCAGCTTTGAAATGATTCTTGACCTCACGATTAATTAACAAAAGCAAAAAAAAAAAATTAATCTGACGAAACTTGAAATATTTCAAATTTTGCTTATAAAATGAGATTTTATAATGTTTATAATATTTTTATTTCATATTACTTATTTGCCCAATTCAAATTCATGTAAATACAGACTAGATGAAAATTACTAGCATATGGCAGAGAACGCAAAGGAAACAAAACATTCCAGGCAGTGCATAGACCTAATGACTATTTAAAAGTTCTGAGAGGAAAATAAATTCAAAGTAATGTTTATTATGACAGAAAGCAGGTAGATTTATGAAAATACAAAGACAATGTTTTACACCAGAAATTGACACAACATTGTAAACTGACTATATACGTCAATAAAAAAAAATAAAAGATAATGTTTAAGGTTCATTATCTCCTTACAGAGTGAAAAAGAAACTCCCATTAATGAAGTGAATACAAAATTGAATGCCTTTCCTTCAAGAGACTTCACCAAAGCAATAGCAAAGAAATGCTTTTTTTTTTCAAGTTTGTTGGGATAATAACAAAGAAAACAGGAGGCACGACAGCCGTCAGAGATTGCTCCATGTTTGTGGGTAACAGGAAGTGGACGGAGGTCTGGTCATGGAGGACTCAGGGCTGAGGAGCCCAGCATGGAGTTGGGGTGAGAGGAGGGCATAGGGGCTTCAGTGCAACAAGACCCTACAGACCCAGGACAGGCTCTGAAATACCAGGAATGGTGGAGGGAGCAGACCTGGGGCTGAAAATAAAAAATGGATGTAAGCAGAGCCTATTCCTTCACTCCATCTTACCCTTCTTCTGATGCCTACCAACTGCAAAATCAAAATCAAAACCAAACCTCCTGTGTATTCTGAAAAACAAACAAACAAACAATGGTAGGTTGAAGGTAAACTTAATAAAATATCTTTTAAAATAGAATTAGGGAAAGAATTAAAATATGAAAGCATATTAGAGGCTAAGAGAATCAATTCATGAAGTCTCACATCTGAATAAAGGAGAGGCAGACACTGAAAAAAATGTGGAAGGAAGAAATTATCAAAGAAGTAATGCAAGAATATTTCCCAAAGTTGAAGGAGGTGAGTCTCCAGATGGAAAGAGCCCAGTAGGTGCTTGGTAGGATAATTGAAAATCTCTCTCACAGTCCTGCAGGTTGGCTCATGCTCGTGTTGGGGAGGGCACTTGTGTGGCTGCACTCAGACAACAGCTAGAACCAGAGTCATCCGAAGGCTCAGTGGGGTCGGTGTTCAAGATGCTCACTCACGTGGCTGGCAAGTGACATAGGCTTTGGCTGGGAGCTCATCAGTGGCCAACATTCAGCCTCTTCGTGTGTCTTGAGCTTCCTTACAGCATGGTAGATGGGTTCCAAGAGCAAACGTTCCAACAGGAAGTAGAATCTGCCAATCTCTAACGGCCTGAATTCAGAAACTGACAGTGTCACTTCTGCTATATTCTATTGGTCAGACAGTCCCAGAGCCCTGATTAAAAGGGAAGGAGACATCAATCTTCCATTTCAGTGGGAGGAATATCAGAGAATTCATGGCCACCGTCAACTCACCGCCGACCCTAAATGCTTCTAGAAATAAAACAAAATAGGTCACTTACAAAGTAATGAGAATCAGAAACAAACTCACTTTCTAGCATTTTCTCCCTTGTGTCCCACACTCCTACATGTGCCCGTCTCATTTTATCCTCAAAGACTTTTCTTTGCTGTTGCCCCTGATTAGAATTCCCTGCATCTTTGCATGACTCATTACTTTTCACAATTCAAGTCTCATCTCAAATGTCACCTCCTCAGAGAAGGCATCTCTGCCCATCATATCTAAAACAGCATTCCCAGTCAGCATTTATACCCTTGGCCTGATTTAAATTCTTCATAGCACTGATCATTACCAAGTCCCTTTTCCTTGTTTTAATTATCTCTGTCTCCTCCATGAGAGTAGGGACTTTGTCTTATTCAAATTGTATATCCAGTTCCCTAGAGCAGTACCTGGAATGTTTGTTGAGAGGTTGTCTCAAGCAGACAATGGAGCAATACCTTTAAATTCTTGGTGCAAAAAACGATTTTCAACTCAAAATTCTATGGCCAGCCAAATCATCAATCAAATGGAAGGGTAGAATAGAGACATTTTTCAGACTCATAAAATTTCCCCCTTTTACAATTCTTTTAAGAAAATGTCTCTGCAAAACCAGGGCATAGGCTAAGTAAGAAAGGTTTTAAACATGGAGTCCAGAAAGCAGTGGATTTCACAGAGGAAAGGAGGAAGGGGAAGCCCCATGATGATAACTGTGCAGCCATATTGGAATTCCAGCTCATCCAAACTGAAGTGGGCAGACAGAGGGCGCCGGGATGGAAATTTCCAGAATAAAAGGAGGAATTTCAGTACCATAGTGGATTAAATGAAGAAGCTGGAAAAAGTTGATGATACCTTTCTTCAAATACTGCAATCAAAGCAACCAGAAACTGTAGGAGAAAGCAAAAGTATGAGAAAAAAATGTAACCAGTAATCGTATTGATCACTAGCTCTTCATTAAACAATATTCACAGAAATCCAGTAAAACATTGCTCATTGAGTTTTCAGTTTTGGAAATCGACCTAATGACGAAGTACAGAGGGTTCACTTAAAGTGAATAAATAAATAAACCTAATTATCTACTTCTCAACCCAGAAATATTCATTTTAAGCTAAATTTAAAATAAATAGAAATTAAAATAACTTAAAAAAAAATAAATCATGGCAATTAAAATTTAATTACCCAACCAATATTTACAAAGAATAAAATAGAAAAAAATTAGACTTTAAAAATTTAGATTAAAAAAAGAAAGAAAATATGTGTTCCTAATGTGATTAATTTTTTTGCCTCTTTTCTACTTTGCAGAATTTAACTTTGTTTCTTTGGATCCATTTTCTTGAAGCTTCCATGGATATCATTAGGGCGTGTGTTCTACTGCATGCAAAGTTCTCTGCATCGAATCAAGCTGCAAACTGCCTACTTTGCATACGGAGTGGTCAATAAATAG